TGTTATATTTATATATAACAAGTGCAATTATTCGTGTACCTTAAAATCAAAAATTGTAGGAAAAATTATGATTCGACGTGTATGGTATTCGATTTAATTGATGAAAGATTCATATAAAAAAAACATCTTTCTTACGTAGATCAAACTAAAAGGAAAGTTAAAGCTGGAATAAATAAACATAAAACTAACATTAAAAAATTAAATAGCGCTCACAATGTGGTCTCACAACATCAATTTGAATATTGTCATAAATTTAATTGGGATAATATTCAGATATTAGATATAGAATCATTTTCTCAAAAGAGACTAACGTCAGAAATAATCTTCATAAATAAACAAAATTGTATATAAACCGTCTTTTATGATTAGAGTTAGATATTTTATTTCCGACTCTTGAGCAATTCAATATAATTTTCCAAATCTTGGATTCCACAACTGAACTTATTATTAACACAGATATTATAATTTATATATATATATATATAGTATATATATATATATATATATATATATAAAACAATTACATTATGTATGTGTAATGTATTCATCGTATTCATTTATTGATATTATATTATTATTACCTAAAATGGCATTGGACGTAAGGAAAAAGTGCTACTACAGCTTCGTATTGATATAACTATTAAAGTTAAAAATCTGTACTTTATGTATATTATAGATTTTTAATACTGGTGATATATACTGGAACACGGCCTACACTGCATGTGTACATAATACATAACACTGTATTTCTAAGGCCCGATTCTACAAATATAAGATTAACTTCAATTACGGTTTATTTTTTCTCAATTCTAAAATTGGAAAATTTTCCAAAATAAATAATATTTTATATAAAATGTTTCTTTCTAACTATCACATCCGCATTTAAAATTCTGTTAATGAATAAAATTTTGAAAACGAGATTACTAATAATATAAATAAAGGTGATACTAATATAATTTTGTAGTGCACAATTGAAAGCCTTCATATGTTGTGTAATTTTAAAATAATTTTTTATTTGCCTATTGAAAAGCGAATCGGTTTTTTCTTACAATTATTGCTTAAAAATTACACATACGAACAATAATTTCAAAAATTATATGAAAATATATTTGATCTAATATATATGTTTACTACTAATTATAGTATTTATTTCTGATCTCACACCTTACACGCTCGACCACGCCAATTTCTTGCGGATCGAATTTATGACTGTAGTACATAACACGAATAGAAAATCATAAACAATCTCCTGTCAATTATCGCGTTTTGACACGATTTATAATATTCTGGGAGGGAGTATATTACAATTTATTACAATTTATTAAAACTTATGTTATTTAGAACGTTCCCATACCTCCATATCTCTTGATATACGCCTGACGTCGAAAGCCGAGAGGCCGAGAAAGCATATTTCGGTTGCTCGACGCTCGCTTGAGTGAAACAAGGTTCTCTCTCGTTCTCAGTGCGCCGACAAGGCAAACAATAAAAACATAGTGCAAAAAGGACGGAGCAATAATAGTCGACACGCTTCTAACTAACCAAGTCACACGGACACGGGCTCATGCTTGTGTTGCTACCGGTTGCGCCAAGCCGCCGATCGGTGGCGCTGATCGCGTGCTGCAAGCGGTCCGGAATTTGCATTATTGGTCTGTAGGACGTAACATTATCGTTTACCGCTTTCGCCACGTTGGCCGCTCCGCCGATCAAGGACCCGAGTGCATCCAACATTGACAAACGGTAATGCATCGCCTCATTTCGCCGTCGGAAGTATCCGCTTTTTCGTCACCTTTTTTTCGGTCTTCTTCCGTTTCATGCCCATGCCGATTTTGGTCTTGGTTTTCATCGCTACCCAGACGGCAGCTACGGCGGCTCTCTTGCTCAGAGCCGAATCTCTCGCGACGACCCGTCCTAGCGCTTTATCGGCGAATATCTTATCCGCCGTGTGTCTATCGGTGAGATCGTTGCTCCGAGAATACGCATGTCGTGTTCTCGGTACGCTGCGTCCAGCGGATTTATGCCCGCGTCACCTCTGGCTAATCGCTTCATAAGCTGAGTGCCCGGACTGCAAAACTGGTAGCCCGGAATATGTAACTCAAAAGGAAGCGCGTTTATCGCTCTATTTAGCCGACATTCGCTACAGTTCTTTATTTTCAGTGTGAAGCCGTCGATATGCGTCCGCTGCCACGGCTGATTGTAGTGTTCGTCGCAGCGACGATAAGTTCGAATTTCCGAATCTGCCTTCACGTTCCAGAAGTTTGTCCCAGATGTGTTCGATGTATTCACCGTACACGCGTAAGAGTACAACCTTCGGTATATATTTCAACTGCTCGGCAGTCAAGTCTCGAATATTGGAAGGATGACACAGCGCGAAATACATTTTGCTACCGCGCGATTTGCAGATTCGCGCGCCTTTAAATAATCGTTCGAGAGCGCGTAGCCTTTAGTGTGAACATGAAATTCGTGCTGCAACCGCTGACGATATATGTCACAAACTGTGACGCGAAATCACAAATGATGGGAGGCAGTGCAGAGAAGTGCAAGCACGGTGAAATGCTGTCAAATACTATACACGAGATCATTTGCGGCCTGTCGAATTGTGGTAAAACCAACATTCTCATAAGTTTTGCTCGAGAGTACAAACGGCATACGTTTCGAGAACGTATACGTCTACTTGAAATTATTGCAACTGTCAAAGTATCGAAAATTTATTTACGTCTATCAATGAAATCGGCTACTTTACGTTTTCCACGACAACAGCGACATCGTTCCACCGAAGGCGCGCCCAAATTTTATTTTTATCTTTGATGACGTGTGACAAGTAGGATGCGGTGAGAGAAAACTTTTCGATGGGTCGCCACGCGAATGTTGATTGCTTCTATCTCTGTCAGACATACGCGAGGATACCTAAACGCGAACCTGCTGATCCTGTTCAAACAGGATTGTACCAATTTGAAACACATTTACAATAATCACGTGAACACCGACATGTCTTATGACGAATTTTGCGCCGTGTTGTGCCGTGACTGTTAGTTCAAAAATCCTTAAAAAAATATGGATTTTTAATAATAGACAAGGACAGTGCGCTTAAAGACGGGAGATACAGAAAGGGATTTAACGAGTTCGCGTTACTGTAACGTGACTAGTCGTTGTCGATGCTTCGCCAGAGACGAACATGGCTGATGTGCGCGAGCATGAAAAAATCGTGAGAGAGATCGAGAAGACGAGCGAGTCGATCCGCAAGAAACATCGCGCTCTGAAAACCAATAGAATCGAGAAGGACATGGCATTGAACAGACATTTTAAGCCTATTATCAAACCGCTGCTACAGATCGTTGACAGTCCCGGTGTGCACGCAATAAAGAGACAGTCGCGCGACGATGACGCAGCGTTTGCTTCCAAGCGCGAGAGGAAGGAAGAAGAAGAGGAGGAGGAGGAGGAGAAGGAGGAGGAAGATTGAGAGAAAGCGAGTAAGACATTCGAGCGTTCCGCGACTTCGCATAAATCCGATGATCGATCGCACGATCGTACAGTCAATAACCTCTACTCCGCGTACGATAATCATACCGACGAATTGTTGAATAACGTTTTCGACGGACGACTCGCTAACAAAGATTCAAAATCGGTTGCAAACGTCAGAAAGTCGAGAGGCGTTGCAAACCGGCTTGGGCCCGCTGAGTTAAAAATACGTCGAGGCTGTCCTGAAGTTAAAAATACATCGAGGCTGTCCTAAGGGGAGCGCGAGATAAACAGAAGAGTGATATAGATTATGTATACGGCGTTTACTTACACAAGAATGAATTGATGTTTGGCAATAAACGTTTCGATGTGGATGATGCGGACAATGTAATCGATGTTATCGACGGCGTACTATATGCCGGTACACCCAGTCTTTACGAGTTAATTTTCAAAAGAACGACGATCTCCTCTATACGGAAAATGATATGAACAAGTACAAGAGCATGCTGCTGGCAATGAATGCGCACAAACACAAGCATCATTCGCAGGGCCGATTATAAGCAACAGGGGATATAAGTACAAATATGTAATCGCGCCGTTGATGTCGATCACACCCAAGAAACAGAAGAAGAAATCTGGAAAGGGATTATCTCACGCAATGACATTAAATGACAACGCGATCGATTACTATATATGCACTGGGATGATCTCAACGAGCTGGTGGATTGTCTACGATTGCTCGACGCTTCGCATCGAGCGGGCAACAACGCTCACAACTCGTGACGCTCAGATTGTCGAAGAATTTCGCGAAGCTGCTCTTATTATAAATTAAATCGCGTATCGACGAAACGAGTCAGTCGAGTGGCGTCAGCGAGAAAAAGCTACTTTTGTCCTTTGTATTACACGTCGAATCATGAAAAAGAGATCCAGCGAAAAGAGAAAAATTAGCTCCGAGAGTCATCGACTCATCGAGGAATTGTACGTTCCGGCGAAAAAAAATTTTCCACAAATACGCGTCATAGTTCGAGGATATGACGATCTATGGCAGGCTGATATCGTCGAGATGCGTCCGTACTCGAACTTCAACAGAGGCCAGCACTACATACTCACCATCATCGATGTGTTGAGCAAGTACGCATGGGTCGTACCGCTCAAGAGTAAGAGTGAAAACGAGACAGCTGATGCTGTTGTTGAGATAATTCGAGCAAGTGGAAGATGTCCTAAAAATTTACAAACGAATATGGAGAAGGAGTTTTAGAACGCCGATGTGTAGAAAATCTTGAAAAAATACGATGTTAATCACTATTCCACGTATTCGACGTTGAAAGCGTCGGTAGTCTAGCGGTTCAATCGTACACTCAAAAGCGATATGTGGAAGATGTTTACACTCAACGGCAATTACAAGTGGATCGACGAGCTGCCGCGTCTCGTATCAGATTACATCGCACTATCGGCATGTGGTCCACCGACGTAACTCCCGCGATCGCCGAAAGTCTCTTGGATACGATGTACAGCGTGATAAAAATCGCTGATCCAGCAAAATTCAAAGTGGGCGATTCGGTACGCGTGTACAAGACGATTTTTGAGAAGGGTTATACGCCAAATTGCACCACTGAAGTATTTACGATCGTTAAGATGCAGCGTACCAATCCCGTAACTTATCTACTCGAGGACTATCGCAGAAAATCCGTCGCTGGTGCATTCTACGAGCACAAGTTACATCGCGCTACTCATCCGGACGTGTATCTCGTGGAGAAAGTACTGCGCTAGGAAGGGAGACAAGGTGTACGTCAAGTGGCTGGGATTCGATGGATACGATGCACAATTCATGGGTACACAAAAACAATGTCATTTGATAAAATTTTTCATATATTTTTTTTCTACATATAAAAATATATCAATATAAGTATATAAACGTATATTTTTTTTATTCCCCATTCATCATCATCTTCGTTTTGGAGTATACAAAATATATAATTATTGGTAACAATTTATGTATGGAGCAGAATACACGACCGACACACTGACCTATCTTTCTGCCCAATACGCGTCTGGCAAGCGCGAAGATAAACTTCTAGCGACGTTGTACGCAGCGTTACGTCCATTACCGCAACCTGCAACAATGTATTCGTCACGGTTTTCACGTAATAAAGATCTATCGGATACTATAATTTGCTCAATCTCCATGGCTCTGCGATTACATTGAACTCAATATACAATTTAGAACACTCGCGAAAAACGATTTCGAAAAAAATTTGTATAAACTAATGAACAACGGGATATTCGGTAAGACCATAGAGAATGTGTGTAACCACGTTGATGTAAAATTAATAACGAAATGGGACCGATGGTACGGCGCGGAGGCAATGATCGCGAAACCGAATTTTCACAGCCGCAGCATCTTTGCGGAAAATTTGATTGCCGTCGAAATGAGCAAACTCGAAGTGAAGTTCAACAAGCCGATTTATGTGGGTATGTGCATACTTGACATATCGAAAGGCTGCTTGTACGAATTTCACCACGAGTACATGTCACCGATGTATCGCCGCAAATGCAAGATCATGTACGCCGACACGGACAGTCTCATTTATTATATAGAATGCGATGTTTACGAGATTATGAAACGCGATATCGCTAGATTCGACATGAACGATTATCCGGCAGACAACGTGTACGGTATGCCTCTCGCGAACAAAAAAGTATCTAGCCTGATGAAGAATAACGATGTTAAGGACTGAATTTATTGGACTCAGAGCGAAGATGTACGCGGTGAAGGTGGACGGCAAGGCTAAAAAGGCGGAAGATGTAAAGAGTAACGTCGTAGCGCGAACGATAACATTCGACGATTACATGCAATGAACGAAAAGATTGAAATGACTCGCCGTCAATCGTGTATACGATCTAAATTACACGAGGGATACACGATATCCGAATCGAAAATCGCTGAGTTCGATACGTCATATCAGACTCGACGGAGACGTTACCGTGGGCGGATACCTTTGTAATACAATATATGTATTATATCTATTATATGCAGTATGTATTGCTATTATGTATTACTATTATAATTTACATTTATACAAGTACAATATTATTACTATTTTTTACGATTACACTTTCATATAATATATATCATATGTTTTAACATTTATATGCGTATTATATACTAGTATTCTAATTTTCACTTTATGTGTCTCATGTTTTTATCATTTATGCGTATTACTCGGTAAGTGAATCCAGAGCGATCGCGCTCACGTCAAAGTTCGTAGCGTCTTCGACTTATCGAAATTTGGTGTATAATAAAGATTAACACATCGCCCATCCATACAGATTATTTACATCGTAGTACATCAAATACGACGACGATTTCGATCGAACGAACACATGTACTTGTTATTAGCCTGCGCGTATCTACCGGAGCATTGACTGAGTCCGCCGCGTATACCGCGTATACCGCGCTCGATGAACATGACCATATCAATGTCGGTGAGCAACTCGAATCTTACGCGTGTATATTTCAGCATGGCGTCCCACGTGAAACCTGGCAATGTATAATAATGCGCGGGATCGAGACAGTAACTCGCGATGCAACTATTGCGGAAATTTTCGAAAATGTTTGCTAATAACAAGACATCAGTTTTCAAGTACAGATTACAGTACTCGCCGAGCGTTCGGATGGAGAATCGCTTCCAGATGTGCGCTTCCAGTTCGCGGCGTGAGCATAATCGCTCTCGGATACTGTATCGCTTGTCAATGAACTGAAAAATAATTCGCGCGATGGTAAGCGCGTGTTCTGCAATTTTTCGATGCAATTAATGTACTCGTACGGAACACCTTTTCATGTGAGTAATTCAAATTCTTCGTCTGATAATGTTAGAAATTCGGAACGTACAATTTTTAATTTATCTTTGTCGAGATACGACGCCAATTTATCAAGGCTTGCATTTAAAAATTTGAAAGAATCAATCTTAAGAAAGAATGAACCTTAATTTTACGCAATTTTTCTGAAAATTCTTTTCATTTTTGTCTTTGGTGCTATCGACATGTTTAGTGAATGAAATATATTTTCCTTTGGTTATTGGTAGTATATCTACATGTCCATCATACGCGGTAGCAATTTCCTTAATTATAAAACGCGTCATAGCCTGATAAATTGTGAAATACGACTGAAATATAAAACGAATTTTTATAATTTAAATTACAATTCGAATGCGCTGAACCACGGTATCTGCCAGTGAGATGACAACGATCCCGAATGTCATCTGGCGCGAATGGTTTCTCGCAGATATGACAACGTGTCGCGCTACAATACGCCTTCCATTGCTATTTAGATAACGTTTCCATGGCCACGTTTCCATGGATACGATATTTTTCACGCGATGTGCCAAATTATTGAGTTGTCACGTGAATCATATTATACAGTCTTCGCGACGGAAGCGATACGATAACGCATCATGCTGTTGATACGCGTACGACGACGCGTCTTCCTTGATTTTGTCTTGCGTAAGATGCATTTCAGATCGGCGTAGACGATGAATGACACTCGTTCCCGATTGTTATAGTTGTCGAATTTGAGCCATCTGTCGTCCTCGCTCGGCAGTCGGATGGCGCAGTCGTTGATCTTCTGGCAGTCCACTTTGTGCAATTGCAATTTTTCGCACGAACTGAAGGCACCTGCAAATAATAAAGAAATCATTTTTCTATTTCTTTTTACTGTTTTTATTGACTATTTTTATTATACTTACAAAAATATTTCCTGCTCTCGTTCCCAGTAATTTATGATCTTACAAGGCGGGATAGATTTTTTTATCTACGCAAAGTGTCTAATGTTATCGTTGCGTGAATGTTATAGGAGATTGATATGCTTCTTGTCATTGATGAGCCGCAGAGGAAAGACCTGTCTATTTGATGCTGTACACGTTGATCGACACCGTGTTCGAATTTCGGAATATCTTTTAAAATGTCAATGAATGTCATTGGAAATTCGATACCCGCGAGATTTAATACTGCGATGTAATACGGATATGATGATTCTTGATTTACATATCTTTCTGCGGGGTATAGAGTGGCGACCACCGACCACGCGAAACATGCATTGTCTGTCGAACAAACACTCCGCCCGTTTCGTCGCTATTTCTCGCGGCACTTCGATGTGACATCCCGCATGCATTGGATTATGCTTATTCACATTCAAGTTGAGGATTCGCTACAATGCTCACCCGCTGTCGCGTTCCTGGAATTCTTCGAGCGATAGGCTCGACGACGTGTCGCTCGTACCATATCGTTGCGCATATCGGTGCAATGATATATCTCGCTGTTCTTGTAATTATGCTCTTATTAGTACGATTATTCCTTCGTCGCAAACTCGCCATTGTACGCGGTTCACTTTTATACTTTTACACGTGTTTTTCTACAGCGTCTCGCACTCGCTCGAGCACTACATAGTCAGCGTCTTTTAAAAACTGCCGCGGCTCGATGTGATTAGAGTTTATCACCGCACCTGTCAGTATACGATTCTCAAACGCGGCGTCGATCTCTCGCCGACAAGAGATCATTCGTTGCCACTCGCGTATTCGCCACTAATGTGCACGAAACGTCGCTCCAATTGCAATTTTGCACCCGCGAATCGCGCGATCCTCGCCGCGGATTGTCTGTATCTAATGGCGAGGCGTGGACGCTTGGCATGACAAAGTTCTTCGAGCTGCTCGATACATTCGTTGCATCGTTGCAGCTATACTCCATCAAAGTAGCGACTTGGCCGCACTGTTCCAGCAGTTTCCACTCGCTCGTGGTTTTCCATGTTTTTTTTTAATGTGCAAAATGGGCACTTGCTGCACGAGAATATAATGTACAAAGGCAGTCTGCAATTCGTGCACGACCTGCCGTCTAGCCTACCGAAAGAACCGGTTTCATGCACCTTGACGTGATACATTCCTTCATCGTTAATGTCAGCTATACGAATCATGCATACGGTTAAAAAACCACCCGTTGTATAATAATTGTGGATCACACAGTGCTTAATACGAGCATTCAATGTATGAATTTTTGGAGACGACACGAATTTTTCTATGCGATCCATTTCATACTCGCTCATATCGCTAGCACATCCACTATAGTCGGATAGCATTTCTTCATCAGACGACTCTTGGTCCATTATATTCTCAAAGTCTACTTCCATTTCATCAAACTCTTCGTCTCTAATATTCACGAACTCATCCACATTTCTAATATATATAATATATTCTGCTATGTCGACTCTGTCCTCAATGTTACCGATATTTTCGAACTTTATATCGTCCATTATGTCCTTAAATTCTATTTCCATTGCTTCAAATAACTTGTCTGCATTTACACCATTCATGTCCTCAACGTCTGCATGATGTTAGCCATATTTTTCGCTTTACTTATTGCGATTCGGTAATTTTTAAGAACGCCAACTGAGATGCCGCGCGCTTATGACCCATTATATATTCTATTTGCGACTTCTTTGTTTCCTTGTCTATCCTCTCTATTGGGTTACAGCATCGGCGACGATCTTTTCTTACAAAAAAAATATCGTTATCTTTGTCTCTCTCTTAACGCATCGCGACGTGTTACCCGCGATCTCACGGTTCTTTCTAGATAAATATCATTATCGACGTTTCTGATCTTGAAAGAAAGAAGAATTGTGAAAATGCAGTATGATTTCATCATTTATCTCTCATTGATGGCACTTTGTGTAGCAGCCGATACATCGATGATGTGCCACCGATCTCCCAGACAAAAATCCA